TGCAGTAGGTGCTCTTGACCAGGGCATGGGATTCAAAGCAGCCAATTTTAAGAAGGAGGGAAGATAAGTATGGTCCAGAAGTAGCAGTAAGGAACACAGGGCCCTCCTTCACTTCTCTGCCCAGTGGTGCAAAAAAAAACGGTGTGGAGGAGACAGCAGCCACTAATCGAGGTGCTGAGGAATACACACAGAATAGCACACGGCTCACATTAAAGAAAAAACATGTAAATGTTGCAGCAGAGTCAAAAATAATCCCATATCTTAGATATGAAACCAGGAACACAATAAACAATAAATTGGGCTTAATCACTATTAAAAACAGTTGTGCTTCAAAAGACACCATCTAGAAACTAAAAAGACAACACACTGAAAGGGAGAAGATATTTGTGACATATATATATATATATGTAAAAGAGACTTACATCTAGAATATATAAAGGATTCCATAATAGAAAGACAGCAATATAACTAGAAATGGACCAAGGATCTGACTAGACATTTCTCCAGAGAATATAAACAGGTGATAAACACATTAAAAAGATGGTCAGCATCATTAGTCATCAGGGAAGTGCAAATCAAAACCACAGGGCACCACTTTTCCTCACTAGGATGACTAATTAAAAAGACAGAAAATAGCAAAGTGTCAGTGAGGAGGTGGAGAAATCAGTACCTTATGCATTGCTGGTGGGAATGTAAAATGATGCAGCCAATTGGAGAACAGTTTGGCAATTCCTCAAAAAAGTTATGACCTTTTGACCCAGCAGACATATGGTCGTACCAAATTTGTAGGTAAATGCTCACAGCAACATTATTCTTGATAGGTAGAAGGTGAGAATGACTCAGGCTCATCAGCTGACAAACAGATACATAAGATATGGAATATTATTTGGCCATTAAAAGGGAGACGGCACCAACAGATACTCCAACACGGATGAACCTTGAAAGCATGCTAGCTGAAAAGAAACCAGCTGCAAAAGATCATTTAATATATGATTCCATTTATATGAAATGTCCAGAATAGGGAAATCTATAGTGACAGAAAATAGGTGAGTGATCGCCAGGGCAGGGGGTAATGAGAAGTGACAGCTGAGGAGATGGAAATTATTTTGGGAGTAAAGATCTTCAAAAATGTATTTGGTGATGGAAAAGAGTCCTGGGAGAGGCAGCACCAACATCCTGGTGTGGTGTTTCAGGATTTCTGAGGCTGGTTACTGAATTGCTCCTTTTCTTTAAATACAGGACCACTGGGTCTGCTCAGTGATGCTTAGTAGACATTTGCTGAATTGGAACCCAAAAGCACACCCAACAGTGGTGGTCAGAGTGAGGTGTGTGGGGCTCAGCCCCACCTCAGGGATCTCAGTGTCTTCCTTTGGAGGGTGGTCACACATGTGAAGCACGTGGAACACTATAGGACAACACAGATTTTTATTTTAGTGTCAAAGTTGATAGTTGACAGTGAAGAAAACTCTCAAGAATAGGATGGCAAAGATAAAGGATTTGAAATGAACCTTGACATTTATGTAACCTTACAAAAGAATGAATGGGGTTTTTGGAAAACATTCATGGAAGTAGAATTCCAGTGGTCCTTGGCATATAGCTGGCACTAAGTGTTTATCAAGTTAATGGGGACCATTTGTTTTCTTGGGCTCATGCATTAAAGATTAGGTATGAAGTCCAGGCGTGGTAGCTTAAGTCTGTAATCCCAGCACTTTGGGAGGCTGAGGCAAGAGGTTTGCCTGAGACCAGGGATTTGAGACCAGCCTGGGCAACTTGGTGAGACCTCGTCTCTACTGGGTGAGACCTTGTCTTTACAATAAATCAGAAAATTAGCCGGTCGTGGTGACTCGCGCCTCTAGTTCCAGCTACCTGGAAGGATTGCCTGAGCCCAGCAGATTGAGGCTGCAGTGGCCATGAGCATGCCACTGCACTCCAGTCTGGGTGACAGAGTGAGACTCCAACTCAAAAAAAAAAAAAAAAGGTGGCCTTAAAGCAAGGCATCATCTCTTATATAGTTTTTAGATTAAGTTATAAATGTTCACTTTAGAACTACCTGAAGATTGATAGAGATGCATTTGAAAAGCATTATTTTTTTATTGATTCTTAATGTAGTAAATTACTGAAGTTATTTGGCGGCAAACAGAAATGGCCTGTGATGTGGTTCACATTTATTCTTCTGATAGAGCCACAATTTGCATTAATTGCGTTGCGACTGCACTCACTTATATTAAAAGGCTTCTACTATAATTAATCCTTTTTATTTCAAATCATTTTGGCACAATCTCTAGCTATAAACACTCATAAAAGACAGACAGTTGAAGAATTCATTGCAGGTTTTTTCCATATACCTATTGCTATTTTTTCATGACAAGTAGTTATTGATATGCTTCTAGGAACAAGTGTGGTACAGCTGGCTGGGGATTGAGGCCAATGTGAAAAATGCTAAGTGGATTATTTTGCATAAAAAATAGGCAGTTTTTGAAGTTGTATAATTAACCTGTGTTTAGAAAATACCTTGATTTATGCTTACATTTATATCTCAGTTGCATACATTATGGAAATTTAATTTATAATCCATTTAGCTGATGCAATCATAGTTTTTAGTGCTATCATTTATTAGTGCTTGTATATTAAATGCTCTGAAGGTTTAAACCTGCCTTATGTAAAAAATTATACCTGTGCATTTACATTTTATGAGTCACAGTGGGATTTCTGTTTAAAATTCAGGTAGCTCTGATATATTTAAACAGTTTCACTAGTTTATTGTTACTAATGCAGAAATGGCAAACAATGACCTTATATATTGACCGTCCAATGATTTACACTTCTAGTTTACTATTAAAGTCCACTGTACAAATGAGGGCTTTTCTTCAACACCTGGAATCAATCATGTAGTTTTATGCAGAATGTTCTCCTTGGCTTTGAACTCATCATTCATTTAGAAGTAATGGTATTTACAAGTGCTTCAGGTTAATAGTATTAACCATTCTTAACTTTAAACGAACTGTGGCTTTTCAAAACAACTCTTTTTTTTTTCACACTATCAGTAGATGGCTGTTTGCTAGTTGCCATTTTATTATTCATGCATTCATTAAGAAGTCCTTTCTGCCATTTTTTCAAAATTAATAGGGTAATCATTAGTCTTTAAATCAGAAACAAAAGCACAAGGATATAATACTTTGATTTACTTGGAAAAGAATAGCTGTGGTCTTCTACAGAGGAATATTATGTTGCCTGGGTGCCTTACACAGGGCAACCTTAGGAGAAAAGCATTCTTCACAGTGTCTGTCAGTCTTTTTCTGAAACAAGAAGTCAGTGACACTCTAGCTATTTGCTTTTTGGGAAAATACCGACAGCTGTTTTCTAGTTTCCACCAGTCATATTAGTGGGCACATTCTTAAAATGCAGATCTCAAGAGATATCCGAGCGTGCTCTGAGTGTGTATGTTTTAGAGTATTTGTTTAAGGATTAGTGATTTGATAGACTATACAAATGAAATAGATGATTAAATGCTGTAACTGTTGGAAACTACGACAAAGCAGAGGAGTCACTGCACAGATGAGCAGTGGCATATACAGATGAAGCATTTCTCATTGCAGAAGCACCGTCCCTGTACTCTGGAAGCTATTTACCTTTTTTTTTTTTTTTTTTTTTTTAGTTGGGAGTCTCGCTCTGTCACCCAGGCTGGAGTACAGTGGCATACTCATGGCTACCACAGTCTCGACCTGCTGGGTTCAGGCAGTCCTTCCAACTCAACCTTCCAAGTAGCTGGGACTGTAGACATACGCCATCATGCCTGGCTAATTTTTAAATTTTTTGTAGAGAGGAGGATGTTATCCAGGTTGGTCTCGAACCCTTGGGCTCAGGCAATCCTCTCTTCCACCTCCCAAAGTGCTGGGATTGCAGGCGTGAGCCACCATGCCCGGCTGCTCTTTACTCTTCACACAGATCTGTCTTAGTAAACCCTTGGATCTAATATTTAGTGTGATTGATAGAGTCTAGTGATAGCCTCTGAGTTGGAGGAGTGACTTCCTGAGTGGACTGTGTCCTGGTTGAGTGATCACCCCATAGTTGAAGTTTTGTTTTGATTTTATTGTTCCACCCACAAGTGACACTGTGGCACCAAAATCTTAAAACAGTGGGCTAAAGAGGATCTGGATATATCACAACATAGCTTCTACAGCACAGCTCATTACAGTTGCTTATAAGGTGGGGTTAGGCCAACCTTCAGTTTCTCTCTGTCCTTCCTGTTGTCCCTCAGTTTTGGGCTACACCTCCAGGCTACATCTCCAAACGTGAGATGTAGATCTCTTCTGTGGAGGGTTTCTTATTTAAAGCTAGACTTGTGTTCTCCACTTAGAAAATGGGGATAATTCTATGGCTTCTCCTTTGACCTGGGGAGACGGAGGAGAGAACCTTTCATAGGATCACTTGAAATACATAGATCTACAGACTAGACATTTCTTACAAGAATGGCATTTGTTGAGGTAATCCAAATTTCTCGTTTGCTTCCATTATTTTACCTTAAGCTAGGAAATTGTCCAAATAGACCAAGTGGAAATGAGATAACAAATTCTAACTGCATGCTTAGCACAAAGCCAGCACATAGTAAGCAGTCCGGGAACGATAGCTATTATCTTTATTTTAAAATGTTGACAAGACAATTTCTGTTTCACATGAAGGACTCAGCTGTCAGAAATTCCATTTGATGTTAACATTCTATGATTTCAGCCTTAAATAGTCTGTTCTAGAGTTTTTGACATAATGCACACATTGAAGGCTTAAGCTGCAGCTGGGCACATAGTACTCACTTGATATTAGCTTCCACCATCCTCATCATTATTTTGAGAAAAAGTTATCTGCTGTCTAAGGGTCCAGTTAAATATCAAACTGAGCGCATATATATATATATATATATATATTTTTTTTTTTTTTTTTTGTAGGCAGCATGAGAAAAGACTTGGTGTTGAGTGCTAACCACTGTCCATTGATCTCGTTTGAAGGCTCTCTACGAAAACATGTTGGTAGAACTACCCTTCGCGGGCTTCTTCCTCTCCAAGTTGCTGGGAACAAGCGCAGATGTGGACATTCACCACCTTGCCTCCCTAGACCCCGAAGTGTATAGGAACTTGCTGTTTCTCAAGAGTTATGAAGACGACGTGGAGGAGCTGGGGCTGAACTTCACTGTGGTGAACAACGACCTGGGGGAGGCACAGGTGAGGGAGCATCCCCATCCCAGCTTCTTCAGCCAGTGAGGAAGATGATTCTTCTGCCTCTGCAACCAATGACATTGTTTCCTTTTGGATGAAAGTGCATTTGTTGTCCATTGTTTGAGTTTTTGCACATTTTCATTAGAATTCCTATGTCTGAGAGTTAGAAATTAGAGTTTGTGGGAACCTGAAACACATTAGTTCTGGCCTCAGAGCAGAGTATGGTGCCCAACCCTTCACGGTGAGAGTCTGTCCTTCCTCACAGCCCTTCTGTAAAATTACATTCTTGTGGCTATAGTTAAGCCTTGTTTCTTGTCTAGTTCTTGGTGCTGGAGTCAGCCAGTCCTTACCTTCCTGACATGAGCTCTCAGGGTTAGTGAAATAGTCCTCATTCCTTAACCACTCATTGCCACCTTAGCTATTCAAGTGCGGGGTCTGGGGTATGTGGTTATTATATTCTTTTTTAAAAAAAAGGCCTGGGCAATCCCTTCCGGTCCCTTCCCACTGTGGGAGCTTTTCTGTCCTCTCAATAAATCCTGCTTTTAAGGGGAAAAAAAAGGCCTGTATTAAAGATTCAAGTTTTTTCCATATTAAAATTTATTTTTTATTTTATTTTTTGAGTTGGAGTCTCACTCTGTTGCCCAGGCTGGAGTGCAGTTGCATGCTCATGGCCACCACAGCCTTGACCTGCTGGGCTCAGATGATCCTTCTACCTCTGCCTTCCAAGTAGCTGGAACTACAGGCATGAGCCACCATGGCCTAGCTAAAGATTCAAGTTCTAATAACAGCTTTATCAAGATACAACTTATCATAAAATCCCTCCTTTTAGAATGTACACTCAGTGGTTTTCATGTTTAGTATATAGTGTAGTGTGCGGCCATCATCACCTCAGCCAATTCTAGAACATTTCACCACTCTGCACCACTCTGCAGAGAATGTACCCACTAGCTTATCTAGGCAGCCACCAGAGTCCTCCTGTCCTTCCACTGACCTGTTCTAGACATTCCACATCAGTGGGATCTTATACATGGCTTTTTGTTACTGAAGTCCTTCATATGTTGCGTGTGTTGTAACTTCATTCCCTTTTCTGGTCAAATGCTATGCCAGTGTGTGGATTCACCACACGTTCTCATCAGCTTATGGACATTTGGATTGTTTTCGCATTTGGACTGTTAGGAATAATACTGCTATAAATACTCATGTGCATCATACTAGAATATTTATTGATGAATTTGATAGCATCTGAGATAAGCATCCCTAATCTGAAAATCCGAAATGCTCCAAAATCCAAAACTTTTTGAGTACCAGCATATGAAGCTTAAAGTAAATGCTCATTGGACCATTCAGGTTTTAGATTTTCAGATTAGGAATGTTCACCTGGTAAGTGTATTGCAAATATTCCAGAATTTTTTTTTGAATTGGTGTCTCACTCCATCATACAAGCTGGAGTGCAGTGGCATACTCGAGACCACCCCAGCCTGCTGGACTCTGGTGATTCTTCCGCCTCAGCCTTCCAAGTAGCTGGAACTACAGGCGCGTGCTACCACGCCCAGCTAATTTTTGATTTATTGTAGAGATGAGGTCTCGTCAAGTTGCCCAGACGGGTCTCGAACCCATGGGCTCAGGCAGTCCACTCACCTTGGCCTCCCAAAGTGCTGGAATTACAGGCTGAGCCACCAAGCCTGGACTTTTTTTTTTTTAATCAGAGTCTCACTGTCACCCAGGCTGGAGTGCAGTGGTATGCTCACTACCACTCCAGCCTCAACCTGCTAAGCTCAGAGGATCCTTCCACCTCTGCCTTCCAAATAGCTGGAACTACAGGCACACATCACCATGTCCAGCTTTTTTTTTTTTTTTGAGTTAGAATCTCACTTTGTCATCCAGGCTGGAATGCAGTGGCACACTCACAGCCACCACAACCTCTACCTGCTGGGCTCAGGTGATCCTTCCATCTCAGCTTTCCAAATAGCTGGAACTATAGTCATGCGCCACCAAGCCTGGGCAATTTTTTACTTATTGTAGAGATGAGGTCTCTCCAAGTTGCCCAGGCTAGGCTGGTCTCAAACCCATGGACTCAGGCAGTCTTCTCTCTTCTGTCTTCCCAAAGTGCTGGGATTACAGGCATGAGCCACCACGCCTGGCTGTGCTTTTCTAACTTATATTTGGTTTTTAGGCTAACAATGTCTTATTCAGGGGGAAAAGACATCATTTCTGCTCTTCTTATGTAGACCGATAGTCCTTTCTGAATCTAATAACTAGATTTTAAGTACAAAAATACTGTTTTCTTCAAATTTTGTGATTGTTTCTCAAAATTTATATTATTGCTTGATTTCTAATCCAGGTTTCCAAATTTCATCAGCTTTGTCTAGCGTAAAATAACTGCATATTAAATAAATACATTTGTAGTGTGTAGTCTAGTCACCATGAAAAATATAATGTTGGCCGGGCTCAGTGGCTCAGCCTGTAATCCCAGCACTTTGGGAGGCTGAGGCAAGTGGATTGCCTGAGCCCACGGGTTCAAGACCCACCCGGGCAACTTGGCGAGACCTCTTCTCTACAATAAATCAAAAATTAGCCAGGTGTGGTAGCACATGCCTGTAGTTCCAGCTACTTGGAAGGCTAAAGCAGAAGGATCACCAGAACCCAGCAGGTCGAGGCTACGGTGGCCAGGAGCAGCCACTGCACTCCAGTCTGGGCAACTGAGTGAGACTCCAACTCAAGAAAAAAAAAGAAAAATGCATTGTTTTTAGAGTCAGGGTCTTGCTGTGTTTCAGTGGCATGCAGTGGTGTAAACATAGCTCACTGCAGCCTCAACCCCCTGGACTCAAGGGATCTGCTGCTCCAGCCTCCCAGGTAGCAGGGACTACAGGCATGTTCTGCCGTACTTGAATAACTTTAAAATTTTTTGTAGAGATGGGATCTTGGTTTGATGCCCAGACTGGTCTCGAGCTCCTGACCTCAAACAATCATCCCACCTCAGCCTCCCAAAATGTTGGGATTACAGACGGACCCATTGAAAACACATTGACCCACACAGGATAATCCTTAACCTAAACCCCTAGGTCACAAGCACTAAGTAACATTTTACTTTGGTAAATGCACATTTTAAGCAAGTTTGAATTAATGCAGATTTTGTTTTTTGAAAAATTATAAAAGAGTACACATTCTGATAAGAGAGGCAGGTACATTTGTAAAGCAGTATGAACCAGAACAATAGGGTTTACTGGTTAGCAGTCCAAAAGAATGCTGGTAGGCCCCTGGTGGATGCTGAGGGGCTGGCTCCCCTAGCAGATGGTCTCACAGCCTTGGAAGTTCTGGCACACAGGGGAGCAGGAGGGCGGGGTAGGGGTCTGACCTGCTGGCCATAGATGAAGAAAGAGAGCCTGTGTTTCTTTCTGTAGCTGACATGGGGTATTTCAGTACTTCAGTGTAAGATGTCCTAAAACAGGTACATTTGAGAGCTAGTAGGGAAATAAAAAGAGAATACTTGAGCCTCCAGTCAGGATGATGAGGTTTTGATTCAGCAAATCAGGGCAAAGACCTGGAAACAGCCTGGGATCTTCTGAGTCAGGAAGTTCTGAAATTCACGTGAGACCACACCTCAGGAATTAAACCATAAAGCTTTTTAATGAGAGAACGCCTGCTGAAATGAAGATTTGCATTTCAAAAATCGTATTTTGTAGATTAGTGTACTGAACTGAGTAGATTTTGAATGAGAGGGGTAGGGTGAGACAATCTTACACACCAGACTTGCCAGTCTCCTCCCCAGCCCCCTAGCACCCACTTTTCTACTTTCTGTCTTTACAATTTGACTATTCTAGGGTTCTCATGAGTGGAATCAGACAGTATTTGTCCTTTTGTTCCCGTCTTATTTTACTGACCTTAATGTTCTTAAGGTTCTTCTGTGTTATTTGTCAGAACTTCCTCCTTCTATAAGGCTGGATCATATTGCATTGTAGCAGTGGGCCATATTTTGCTTATCCATCTGACCCTTGATGGACCCTTGGGTTGCTTCTGCCTTTTGGCTACTGTGAATACTGTTTCTGTGAACATTGATATACAGATACCTTTTGAGACCCTGCTCTCGGCTTCCTTTGAGTGTGTGCCTAGCAGTGAAATTTCTGATCTTGTGGCAATTCTGCTTAGCTTTTTTAGGACCCACCAAAGCATTTTTCACAGCAACTACCATTTTGCATTCCCTTCATCGGTGCATCGGTTTGGATTTCACCATGTCCTCGCCAGCACTTGTTCCTGTTTTTTTCTTTCTTTTTTTCAATAACAGTCCACCTAATGATTTTAAAGTGATACCTCATTGTGGTGTTACTAATTTCAAGCATAGTATTGTGCTCTAATACTGAGAATTCCTCAGGAAAATAAAAGATTTTTAAATCTTTTTTGGCTTCCTTCCTAAACTGCAGAACTGCTATGTAGTTTGTATACCACCGTGATGTTTTCAAAACTGAAACAAAAAGCACACACAAAGATATATACATCCTAGTGTCTAAATATTTATCATGTTTAAATGATCATCTTTTTGGAACTTGAACTTTCAGTCTGTTTCTTAGCCTTTAAAGCCACATTTCAGTAATAAGTTCAGATTAACTCTTAAGTCAAATTAAAGGAAATAACAGTGCCTCAGCTCCTGCCTCTTTCCATTCCTGAGCAGTATCTAGGCGTCCTGAGTACTAATACCACAGTGCCATGAAGTAGGAATGAGAAAGAAATACAGTACCATATTTTATTTGGTTGCAGCTTATTTCATTGCTTTCCTTTCAACCTGTTCTTCCATACCATAGAGCCTGAAGTTTCAGTGAGGCAAAGTTCAGATATTTTTTGGAGGGCAAGATTTGTTATTGCTGTAAGGAAATTTTCAGCATGTAATGATACTGCTTGCTGCTCTTGCTTTATACCACCTAGTGGTATGATTCCTAGATGGAATAAAAGCCTTAGGACAGAGAGTGTTATAGTGACCTGTCCAAGGCCTTTGCTAATGGGATTATTTCCCATTTTTTCTTCTGAAATAGATGGTAATAGTGAAATGTCACATATGCAAGAGTTCCATTAAAGCACCACTGATAATACTGGAATCTGTTAAAAGCAAAAGTGTGAAGTTAAAATGTTCCACTTATTCATAGAAATTCTCACTGTATTAAGAAATTATAGCTGATAATGTGTAAGAATAATTATACTAAAGAGCCTAATAAGAAAAACTAAGACATTCACTGGTAAAGCACCTAACTTAGGGGGGATATTTTAAGGATCTGTAGAAATAAATAGGTAGTCGTCTATACAGGTTTAAGTTTATAAAATGTTATGACTTTAAAAAATCCATAATATGCAAATATTTTACTATGTTGGCAGATTATGTTAATTAATCTTCCCTTTTAAAATAATAGTGCTAGCCACGCTCAGTGGCTCAGCCTGTAATCCTGCACCTTTGGGAGGCTGAGGTAAGTGGATTGCCTGAGCCCGCGGGTTCAAGACCCGCCTGGGCAACTTGGTGAGACCTCATCTCTACAATAAATAAAATTTTAAAAATTAGCCGGGCATGGTAGCACGCGCCTGTAGTTCCAGCTACTTGGAAGACTGAGGCGAAAGGATCACCAGAGCCCAGCAGGTTGAGGCTGCGGTGACCAGGAGCAGCCACAGCACTCTAGTCTGGGCGACAGAGTGAGACTCCAACTCAAATAAATAAATAAATAAAATAATGGTGCTGATCTTACATTTGTTTTCTTTAGTGTACCATAATCAATTTAGCTGCTTTGTTACTCTGTTTAATGTTGAGCGTGAAATTTTAGACTATTGTTTTGTACATACCTATTCCTTGGAAAAAATATTAAATGTTTAAGAAGATCCACAGCCGGGCTCAGTGGCTTATGCCTGTAATCCCAGCCCTTTGAGGCTGGGACAAGAAGATAACCTGAGCTCAGGGTGTTCGAGACCAGCCTGGGCAACTTGGTGAGACCTCATCTCTACAATAAATCAAAAAAATTAGCCAGGCACGGTGGCACATTCCTGGAGTTCTGGCTACTTGGAAGACTGAAGTGGAAGGATCACCTGGGCCCAGCAGGTGGACTGCGTTAGCTGTGAGCGTGCCACAGCATTTCAGCCTAGGCGAGGGAGTGAGACTCTGACTCAAAAAAAAAAAAAGAAGGATCCACAAATACTCCTCTGTTAATTAGAAAAGATTATACTGAGTCATGAAACCTTAGTTTGGGTCCTGTTTTTACTCCATTGTGGCATAGCCTTAGGCAAGTCACAGGACCCCTTCCTCATCTCAGAAGAGGGTGTAAGCTGCTAGAGGATTAAATGAACTCATGTAAATAGGTCTTGTAAGATCGTATCACATGGCCTTGTGGATTCCAGGTGCTGTAAAAGTAGACCTTCAGGAATGGCAGAGTACAGTTCATGCTGTCTTGAGAACTTCTCCAGTTTTCCATATCTATGTTAAAGGAGATTTTATTTATGTATTTTTATTTTTTAGAAAGCGGAATTTATTGAGAGGACAGAAAAGCTCCCACAGTGGGAGGGGACCTGAGAGGGTTGCCCAAAGGAGATTTTAAATATGCCCCACAACCTGATATTTTAGTACATACTTGACATGATTTGTAAATCTATATCACTGTTTACGTTTATTCTGAGAGGATTTTAAATTTAAAATAGTATAACCATTTTAAAGTTATTAGAAATGTCAGTTTTGTCTCATCAGAAGGATAATTGGAAGACTTGGAAGTTCCTTTAACTGATAACTTCACACGGGTTCTTTGTCTTCCAAATCATACAAGTACATCATCATTTATTACCTGCCTTTAATCCATTTAAAGGAAGAGGGTGGTATTTTATATATTGAAATATAATAGCTAGCCTCTCGAGACTTGGTTAACAGATGGACTGTCAGCTGAGTAGAAGCAAAGGAATTAAGGTAATGAACACAGTCTTTAATCAGAGTGAAGACAATGTATTTGAAAGCCTATTTTTAGACTTGATGGTTCCAAAACCAAGAAAGTGTATTAGTAAGAATAATTGAATCATCATTTAAAATGTGAAATATTAAAAGAAGCAAATCTTAACATTCAAGTTTAACGCTGTTTAAGATGAGAGCCAGCAAACTGCTCTGTCCTGTAACCATCAGATATGGGATGACTTAAGTAGAGCTCTTCAGCAGATTTTGAAATATCCTTTCTGTACAGGGTAAAAAAATTTAGATATAAATGCCATTGCCCAGGGACAGTGTTCTTGTCTTTGTTACTGTAGGAATATAAAAACTACCAAGAGAACTAAAGTCAATGGAAAGAAAATAGCAGGCAGGGAAGGAGGTTAATTAATAGTTTTTTTATAATCTAAGCATCACTATGCCACCTGCTTAACAGACATATTAAACCTATTTTGTACTGTTACTTAGTTTCCACTAGCATTCTTTCTCTTTATTAATATGTCACCTTGGGATATCTTTTTACATTGATATGGACTTATTTTATATTTTTTTTATCCGTGACATATAGACTATCCTCATCTCACCCCAGGAATGCAATTGTTGGGGCTTTAAAAAAATTTTTTTAATTACTATTAAACAGGTAATTTTAATACTTTTCTAAATTATGCTTATGTGTTTATAATTGTCTGTGTTGTTTTGCTCATCAGTTTTGTGTTTATGAGTTCACATAATCTCAACAATTCCAAGATAGACAAAGCAAATATCACCATTTTCAATGACAAAAGACATGGAGTGAAGTGGCCTATCTGTGGCCTTCTTTTTTTTTTTTTTGGAGTTGGAGTTGGAGTCTCACTCTATCACCCAGGCTGGGGTGCAGTGGCATGCACACAGCCACCATAGCCTCGACTGCTGGGCTCAGGTGATCTTTCCACCTCAGCCTTCCAAGTAGCTAGAACTATAGGCACGCACCACCACGTCAAGCTAATTTTTTTTATGTATTGTAGAGGTGAGATCTGGCCAAGTTGCCCAGGCTGGTCTTGAACCTCTGGGCTCAGGCAGTCCTCTCACCTTGGCTTCCCAAAGTGCTGGGATTATAGATGTGAGTCACCGTGCCCAACAACTGTGCTTTTCTTATTATCACTCTTGATGCTTATAGGAACCCTGTACTACACTGCAAATTCTGTGTGTCTGGTACCCCACATCTTTATAATTAATAAGTAAATAAATAAATAAATAAAATTCTGTGTGACTGTACTGATAAAAAAAAATTGTTCTGCCGGGCTCGGTGGCTCAGCCTGTAATCCCGCGCCTTTGGGAGGCTGAGGTGAGTGGATTGCCTGAGCCCACTGGTTCAAGACCCGCCTGGGCAACTTGGCGAGATTTCATCTCTACAATAAGTCAAAAATTAGCTGGGCGTGGTAGCACGTGCCTGTAGTTCCAGCTACTTGGAAGACTGAGGCGGAAGGATTCGCCGGAGCCCAGCAGGTCAAGGCTCCGGTGGCTGGGAGCGGCCACTGCACTCCAGTCTGGGTGACAGAGTGAGATTCCAACTCAAAAAAAAAAAAGTTTTCTTACTCTGTTGATATACATAAGAAATTGACCCATTACCTCTAATTATTACCACTATCCTGTAGAGTGTAATTAAAATTCTCTACAGTAGTAATAGCATGGAAATACAAAGAGAAGTGTATTTGTATACTGCTTTAAGTACAAATATGAGTAATCTTTTGTTAAAAATTTTATATTTTCTCTAAAATTCCTTTATTTTCTGACTTACGTTGATTGGTTCATATCTTTGCCCTTTGTGATTTCTAGTTTTTTTTAACAAAATTGCCATGATTGATTGCATTGCCACATGATTCCTTAGTACTTTGGAATGGTTAGTTATCTTAAAGACAAAGTAAGATGCCAAACTTTGGAGAATCTCCTCAGAGCTATGTCTTTGAATCTGCATACAATGACGTGTGTACTTATTGTACTATTTTGTGTTTAGATTCTTCTTCACAAAGCAACAAATCATATTTTCTTAAAACATTTGTTTATTGCTTTTGTGTTACCTACCGTCATGCTTCAAGAATTTTGAGATTCCTGTTTCATACTCACAGGTGGTTGAACTAAAATTTGGTGGAAAAGATATCCCCGTCACCAGTGCCAACCGGATCGCGTACATCCACCTTGTGGCTGACTACAGACTGAACAAGCAGATCCGCCAGCACTGCCTGGCTTTCAGACAGGGCCTGGCCAATGTCGTCAACCTCGAGTGGCTCCGAATGTTTGATCAACAAGAAATTCAGGTACCCTACCTGCTGACTCTCAGGGATGCAGTTGTCATAGGAAATGCAAAAATTTTCTTAAAACCTACTTAAATAGGTTTTGAACTTTTATTTGAACTTTTTTTTTTTTTTTTTAGGTATTAATTTCTGGTGCCCAAGTTCCCATAAGTCTAGAGGATCTAAAATCCTTTACAAACTATTCAGGTATGTTACCACTACTAGTTATTTTTTCTGAAGATGTTGCAGATCATCATATTTTTAAAAGTAATTTTAATGTAATCTTCTGTGTGGGTAATTAACGTGGTCCAAATACCAGAATGTATCACAAGCTGTGTGCAATGAAAGGCCACTTCCTATTTTTGTTGCCCATCTGTCCCTCTCCTCCAATCCCAGAAGTAACTACTGTTCTTAGCGTCTTTATATATTCACCAAGAAATACAAATTTAATTCATATTTTTCTAGTTTTTACACACTGTTCTGCATCTTATTTTTTCTCTTGACAGCATATCTTCTTAAGTCTCTATTTACAGGCATTTCTCCTGTCTTTTGCTTTGAAAAACAGTACTGTCTCCTCCTCCCCTCACCCCTCCACCCCCAGAAAAACAATAATAATTTTTTTAAAAAATAGGCTGGGCTTGGTGGCTCAGCCTGTAAACCCAACCTTTGGGAGGCCGAGGCCAGTGGATTGTCCGAGCCCACAGGCTTGAGACCCACCTGGGCAACTTGGCAAGACCTCATCTCTACAATAAGTAAAAAAAAATTAGCCGGGCGTGGTAGCACGTGCTGTAGTTCCAGCTACTTGGAAGGCTGAGGTGGAAGGATCACTGGAACCCAGGAGATTGAGACTGCGGTGGCTGGGAGCATGCCATTCAGTGACCGGGAGCACTGCATTCCAGTCTGGGCAATAGAGTGAGACTTCAACTCAAAAAAGACCCCAAAAAACTAGACCCCATCAAATTTGTTGCTCTTGATTAAATTAAAACTTTCTACACGTCAAAAAAAAATGAAACAGCAAGCCACAAATTGTATGAAACCTTCAGAAAGTGTATCAGTATCCAGAACTAAAAATGCATTAGTAAGCCGGGCTTGGTGGCACAGCCTGTAATCCCGTGCCTTTGGGAGGCTGAGGTGAGTGGATTGCCTGAGAGCCCGTGGGTTCGAGACCTGCTTGGGCAGGCGAGAACTCATCTCTACAATAAATCAAAAAATTAGCCGGGCGTTGTAGCGCACGCCTGTAGTTCCGGCTACTCGGAAGGCTGAGACGAAAGGATCGCCGGAGCCCAGCAGGTCAAGGCTGTGGTGGCTGGGAGCGGCCACTGCACTCCGTCTGGGCGACAGAGTGAGACTCCAACTCAAAAAAAAAAAAAATGCATTAGTAAATAAAAATAAAACCTAGTTACCAAACTGGGCAGAAGTCTTAAACAACCACTTCCAAATAGAAGTTATACTAATGTGGCCAGTAAGCACATAGATGCTCTATAGCCTTAGTCATCAGAGCAGTAAAAAAACTACAGCTATAATTGATCAGGGTTGTTCAGAATGTTCAGTGTTGGAATTGGTATCTTTTGGGTATTTATAAGTTTTCTTAGCCCCATTGCATATATGTGAGAACAGTAAAAAGAAAAAAAATCACCCATAACCCAGTATTCTCAAACAGCCACTGCTGTGTTGGAATTTTTTTTAAATTGTATTTCTTATTCTAATATGTTCTTGTGGCTTGTGGTTTTACATACAGTGTATTTTATATATGCTAGGTTTTTTGCTTAGCATCAGTAATAAATTTGTTAGCTGTAACTCTTCTTGTAATTAATTTTTGATATTAGCTACATTATTTATTTATCTTTACACTATAATGAACAACTTTGTGTATATTTCTGTGAGTAAAGTCTTTTTTTTTTTTTAAATGATAGAAGCCCAGAAGTTACATTATTTTTTTTTTCCAGTATTTTTTATTTTGATATTGTGGGGTACAGTTAAGGGTTAGGTATACAAATATGCTTCATTCAGGCACCCTTTTTGATAAGAGTTACATTACTCCCTTAACTGTACCCCACAAAACCATAATAAAAAATACTGATTAATGAAAAAAAAAAAAAGAATTACATTACTTTTTAAAGGCTGTGAACATTTTGGGGTGTGAAATTAAAATGAATCTGACTCACAAAAAAAATTTGATTAGGGAATAGTATTAATCTTTGAACATATATAGTCTTAGAGTAGGTTATGAACAGTGTTTGTCATATTATATTGCAACTATGAGAATAAAGTATAGTTAGATACAAGCAAAAATATCTAAGTCATGAGATTATAAGTCATTTTACTTTTTTTTTTGAGTTGGAGTCTCACTCTGTCGCCCAGACTGGAGTGCAGTGGCCGCTCCCGGCCACCGCAGCCTCGACCTCCTGGGCTCCGGTGATCCTTCTGCCTCAGCCTTCTGAGTAGCTGGAATTACAGGTGCGCGCTACCACGCCCAGCTAATTTTTTGATTTTATTGTAGAGATGAGGTCTCACTGCCCAAGTGGGTCTCGAAC